TGACCTGTGGAATCAACAACCTGAAACATTATCACCGGATAATTTCTTGCTCACTTAATAGCACTCAGGGTCCTTTTCCCCTGAAAAACACTCAACCCACTTTGGTCATGTCCACAACACAATATTTATACATTTGGAACAGAATCAGTTCTGTTTTCTGCAATCCTTCCTGACATTCTGCAAAAGGAAAATCTTAAGTTATGCGCTGCGCAGTGTGTGGCCCCTTTCTGCTACAATAATAACCCAGGCCAGGATAGTTAGCCAAATTCATCCATAGCCATCATTTTATTGGGCCCATTCTGCCCTGTATCAAAAGTCTGCATGATCTGTAGAGAAAAACAAATGTCGAGGTTATTTTCAGATAGTAAAATACACGTAGTTTCTTTTGTCTGCTGTGCTGCCGCGGCCTTCGCTGCTTCATCTGCCCTGGCATCTCCTGTTGAAACAGTCCTGCAATTTTGTTATCAGCGTGTGCGGCACACTTACAGACAGCAATATTGCCCCACCTGTGCAATGGCTTTCAGCAAATGTGAACCCCTTAGTAAACCATATTTGGCAATTGTTACCATCCCCCTTTTGATGCAACTGTAATTGCAAAATTATTCACTTAAACAATCATCAATGCGTAAGAGACAGTCTGAGAATTAAAAATGATTTATTTCTTGCAAGAAAGGTTCAATTGGCCCACAGAGGTAGTCAGTGTACAGTTCTGTGAAACAAGTGACACCCGGGGCGGAGGGAGAGAGCAGTTTTTATACAACTAGCTCAAGGTCTGTTCTTCTGCCCATAGATAGACTAAAGTTCAGCTCTCTACCGTCAGGAAAACCCGAGCTTCAGGGTTTGGTTATGCTTTCTCACTTGCTCTAAAACCGGCCTGTCCTTTGACCTTTGGGGTCAAAGTCCATCCGTCTCTCCCCGTCCTCCCATGTCACCTGCTCACATCAATCAGTAGCAGCAGCATTATTGGTTTGAAACAGAAAAGAGTAAAATTCCCATAACAAACACAAAGAGAACCAAAGACCTTTAAGCCTTCATTCAAACTAACGCGCTGTGCCCGCTCTGAAAGACCACGGGAACACGTGACACGAGGACAGAGACACACACACACGCTTTCGTTCTCAACCCCGCGGAGAACCATGCCAGTATCGTAATTCCTATCGATCTAAATGCTTTAAGATCTGTCACCCCATTCAGGGGATTTGATCTTTGGGTCTCTCAAGGTTCATTTTGTCTGTGGTTTGTGCCGTACTGCAATCTCTAATCCTGACCTTTAGTTTCACTTTCACTTTCTCATTCTCATTCTCATTCTCATTCTCATTCTCATTCTCTCTCTCATTCTCTCTCTCATTCTCATTCTCTCTCTCTCTCTCTCTCTCTCTCTCTCTCTCTCTCTCTCTCTCTCTCTCTCTCTCTCTCTCTCTCTCTCTCTCTCTCTCTCTCTCTCTCTCTCTCTCTCTCTCTCTCTCTCTCTCTCTCTCTCTTCCCAACTCTCTCTCTCTCTCTCCCTCATTGCTATCTTCCTCTCTCATCCTATTTTAATTCGTGTTTGTAATGTTTTTTGTTTGTTTGTTTCGGGTGTATACAGGCCCGCATTGATGCACGGGCTTACTGGCAGTGGCGGTTCTACATTGAATTACACCCTGGGCGAGACCCCCTTCGAGCGCCCCGACTCGACTGCCCGGTTCGCCCGTGCCTAAAACCGCTACTGTTTACTGGGGCTTCAGTCCCGGGGCCTATCATAAGCCAAAAAAAAAATCACATTGTTTTGTAATTTGTCGAATTTTCTGTCAATCACTTGATATTCATGCTTTTGGCTGCTGATTGATCCAATTTACAAGTGACCCACGTGGGAAGCATGATATGACAGCCTATCAGAATGTAGAGAAACAGTTGCGTCATCTTCTCTAGTAGTCTATTCAAATTTATGCTAATGCTAGTCACAGAGGCTGATGATCAAAATGTTGAGGAAGAAAAAGTTTGAGAGTGTTGCTCATAAACGAATCGCGACAGAAAGAAAACAGTGAGAAGGAATTGTTAAAAAAGATTCCAAAGCTAACAGGATTTTTTTAAACCTGCAAATGAAGGTGAGTCCAGAGCGGAGCACTGATCGACAGTCCCTCCAGAAAAACGCGATTATGCGATGCTGAATTCAATGCAAAACCAGCCAAAGTCCGCATATTTATGCGGGGGTCGCATTTTTTCAAATACTCCGCAATTTCGCTGCATAAATGGCTGATTTCCGCGCAAAATATGCGGGGCTTGCATGATTTCATAATCCCCGCATTTTCGTCGCAAAAAAGTCACATATATCTTAGCAGAAAGTTGGAAAATGTTGCGTTTGCTTCACACAAGAGCAGCCACTTCCCCCTGTTGCCATGGGAACGCTATGAAGTGACGTAATTACGCGACGTGAACATCATTGAAAAGCTGTAAAACAGGGGCACACTTTATTTTTAAATATTTCATTTATTCATTTTTACTGAAGTTGTAGCATATTCCTCTAGTAAAGCTACAGAACTTGTTTGACTCAGCAATGTTTTGTAAGTTTGATGTGTTTATAAGGTCTTGTAACGCGTTGTGTCGGGAAGAAAAATAGGGATAGCTCACAGCTGAAGTTATTGCAGAGGCCAGACAGACTCACGGAGGCGATTGGCATCTCACAACTCGCACTTTATTCCCAACTCGAACTCGTAACTGTCTGTCACACGTTCTACCGTCCACGTCGTTACTTAATAAACAAAATAAGATAAAAGAAGTAGCATCAAACAGAAATTACCCGCACACATGGGGTGTTCGAGGCGCATGGCACATACAATATAATACTGCAGACAGTTAGACAGGGAGCGCGCAGCTCTTAAAGGGGCCACACCTTATTTCCACTCGTTACAGTCTGAAATAAAACAAGATGAGAAATTAAATATTTCCAGCACTTTCTGTGATGTAGTATGCTTGCTTATCATAGGAAGTAATAAGAAAGGACTCTTTACATTAAGGTAGTAGCCTGGTGAGAACAGGGTGTTGGGGGAATCACTTTTTCCCCCTCTTTTTCATCAAACCGCAGTTTTTGCAAGTTCCCGCAATTTTTGCAAGTTCCCGCAATTTCATCGCAAAAAATTGCATAAATATCCCGCATATTCCATCGCATTTTTTAAGAAAACGGGCCGCGTAATCAAAGATTTTTGCCCCCAACAATCACAAAAAAACTCCCCGTTTTTCTGGAAGGACTGGATGAACAGTGGAGAGGACAAGCAAACAGGCGGGCAGTGTTAATTTCGTTGCCGAATAATTTGCGTAATTATTTTCGTCAACAAAATTTTTTCACAGACAACGAGACGATACGGTCCCGACCCGAAGCGTGCAGCCCTGGCCTGCACATAGACAGACAGCGCGTGAGGACTTAATTGAGCTCTCTTTCGCGTCTGAATGGACAAATACACACAACATTATGTCTAAATGTCCGTTTTAGAGAGTATTCACGTAAACACAGTCGGTTATGTCTTTACAGAATGTACAGTTGTGAGAATATTGGATGTGCATCAGTGTAATTGGATCTGCGCACTCGGTCTTAAAGTGACAGTGCGTAATAAACCTAATGCCGTCTGTACACTTAATATTAATCAAACAACAAAATAAAAAGAGAAAAGCATTCACTGCTCTTTAATAGCTTTAATATGGATTAATTATACTTAAATTATACAAATAAATATGTCTGCTTGAAAGAATAAAGAATGATGTATGTAAGTTAAAGACTGCATAATCATTAATTGAAGAAAAGAAAGACTGTTCTACTTTAGGAGAAGAAGTGTTTGTATTTAATTTTAAGATATTATGTTATGTCACCATGCTAAATCTGTGTCTGTACAGTATTGCATGTTCAAACTTTAAAAATGATTCATATTAATAGGTTAATAGATGTTTTCTACTGGAATATATAATGAGTTTGGAAATTTTAGAGAAATTCTAAATTAATGCATTAGAATTTCACTAAACCCATTCGATTTTAGTCGACTAAATCTACTGTAAATTTAGTCGACTAAAATCTTATTGTATTTCGTCGACTAAAACTAGACTATTTACTGCTTTCCAGTATAGCCTGTGCTGTGGAGGTTTTACATTGCTGTTGTTGTGGATTTTTTTATGGAATACTGTTTTCGTTAGGCTAAATCTCCCCGAGAGAAACTTATTTCTGCTTTTGTTGTATAGACAAACTTGATCATTAGACTTTTTTTTTGTATTGTGGGCCTACAAAACCTCTCAGCCCCAGGGCCTAACGGCAGGTTAATGCGGGCCTGGGTCCCAGATAGCACGTTCAGTCTTGCCAACGTTGGCAATTGGAGGGCACCAGCGGCAAAGTATCGGGAGGGGATTTTCCCCTGCACACCAAAAAAACTTCGGTAGGTAAACCATCGGCGGGATGAATGTACAGCCACTCCAATGCATGCACAACTCCGGAGATCGGTGGAGGAACCGTGATGAACCATTTTGCCGATCCCGCTTCTTTTTTTCAAATAAATAATATCTGCGCAACCGTTGGTTCACGCGCGTGCACACGTTTTTATGAGGGTGCGCGTGAGTGATTTCAGCATCGTCTACAGTCTACAGCTAAAGTCGACTACAGCATCGGTTCGGTGGCAATTAACGGACTCTGTGAGTATGTTTATCCTTTTCAAACACACAATTTTCAGTCCAGTAAGTGTTTACTTTGTTTTGTGTACTTATTTTTTTATTGAAAAATATAATTTTGTTAGAAAACGTCGAGTTTTCTGAGAAATGTTTTCGATACGGATGACAGAAATTGGCGGCGGAGGATTATTAACTTTAACTTACGTGTTTCTGGTTAGTTATTAATTAACTGTTGACTTTAGTTATTATTAACTGACTGTTATATGTTCTCGTATTAAATATTTTCAATGAGTTATTTTTGACAGTATGTATTTTTAGACATGAGGGGAACTCGTTTTTCATCAGTCTGAGGAGAGGTAACTTAACGTTAACAAAACAACCAGGCTAAACTAATAAACGGTCATAAAATTAATGGACTGACTTTTTTCCAAACAAAAATGACATCTGTCCCTTTATAATATTAACCCCTTACACTTAAGGGATTTTTAATGATTTTGTTTAAGTGACATATGCTTAAAATTAAAGCAGCTCTTTTGTTGTGCGTTTCTATTACCGTTAAAAGTAGACCTGTCAATCAAAGACCCAGTTTAGCACAAGCGCGCAACCACTAGACAGTCAGACAAAGAAGTGGTTATGTAGTGTAAAGTGATAGTAAGTGAAGACACACAGCTATTCATAAAATAGAGCCTTAACCTTTGTTAGTTAAACAACATAGAATGGTCTTTTCTGTTTTTTCAGTGAATTTTTGTAAGTGATCGATCTAGAAGTCATCATACAGTTCTGATTTGCCATGTTCTTAACATACTGTTTTAGTCAATAAAGATAAATTGAGTGCACATTAATTCACAAAGGCATTTGCAATATATTTGACTCCTTTTCATGTTTCTTCTTTTTCTCAACAGGAGCTACATACACCCCAAAGGCTCTTTTCAGAGCCCAGGCCCATTTTACACAGCGTCTTTGCCTTTGTACAGTAAGTATGTGTTTTAATTAACCTCAAAGACAACTGAAACACTATCTTTAATTAATCTAGTTAAAAGTTATTTTGCACATGATTTCCATTACACGAGAGTAGATGTTAAAACTTCATGCAGATTTGTACTCGGCTTTCGCCAAGATTAGCACAAACTAAGACGTAGCTTTACAGTAAACTATGCTTCTCCATCCATTTACACTTCTTTCCATATGTAGGTGTGACTCCCCTTCTGTCCGGCATTACGGCTGCAGTGTACTTGGCGCGTCAGCACACACGACGGCTGGAACTACAGCATGGTCTCCCCAGTGGACCAGCACGACAACCGTCTGGATTGAGCCGAGTAGGGGACATCTCTAGGGTCTTCACATATTGATACACACGTATGTAATAACTTTCCCCTGTTTGCTTGTCTTGATTATTGGCATCCTAAGATCCTAAAAAAATGTGACCTTTACCTGTCTCTGCCTTTACTGTACTATTAATTTAGCATCAGGAAAGCCTATACCTTATAGTGGAGCGAGAGGACCGGTTGCAAGGGAATGGTTTACAGGTAGGCCAGGGCAGTAATGTAGTGGAAATATTTATCTTTGACCTAGATAAGGCTACAGGAGAACTCCATTGTCAACATCAGGTTAATGCTGAGTGCTGTAACGTTGCAAATTTTATGTTTATGTTGGTATAGATATTTGTCAACTGTCTATCACTGTCAATAAAAGGTATTTTTTTGTCACTCAGCAAATATGATAGAGGCATGGCAAACTCACATTTTTCCGGACGCGATAATTTACATTTGCATGCTTTTTTGTTTTCCTCATCTCTCTCTGTCTCTCTATACCAAAGAGACTGGATGACAAACTCTCGGTTCCTTAGCGTGAACTAGAGCTTAGATTCTCTGCCCGAGCAAGGACTTGACCCGACCTGGGCCGACACTATCCTCGGGCCGGGCCTTTGATCTAGAGACGTGCACTCCCAACGCAATAGAGTGCGGCTCTGCACTAGATTCGGTAACCCTGTGTGTGCGGGTTGCGGGAGAATAAAACGATTTGCGGGACTCCCGCAAACTAGAAATATCTATTTATAAAACATATAAAAACTATTAGATTTTTAGTCATCTGCAAGAACAACTAAAACAAAATAGTAACGATTTACAGGCCAGAGTTTCTATTTATAACATGTTTGCATTATTGAGCGATGTAGCCAATCACAGACATGTTGATTTCTTGAACGCAATGGCCAATCAGAAGCATTTAAGATATACTTCCCTCACTGCTCAAAACAGACTTTTTTTATTCAGTGCTGAATTCTGTATGCTGGCAAATCCTCTAATTATAACAAACAAAGTGTAGATATTATGAAAGATTCATTGTGCAGTCAGCTTCATTGATAATAACAGACGCGTGAGATCGCGATGAACTGTCTGCTTTTTTGGAATTATTAATGGAGTGCATTCAGTCATGCCAGACCATGCACGCAGTAGCTGCTTGCTTTATGTTAAATTAACAGTGGTTTGTGTGTTAATGTTTTAATAACAAATAATTTAGGGTATGGTCAGGTTTTGTTTACAACCATTTTATTTATTGTTTTTGGTATTTATTCAAGTGCATTTTCTGTTAACCGGGACATTGCTTTTATTGTTTTTGGTTGTTTTGTTCATTTATTGTGTATATTTAAAATGTTTTCCAATTTCAGTGAGCATCATATGTTGTTTGACTTTTTGACCATCCTCTTTGTATCACACAGAGTATGTCACCCATGTCATATTTCTCTATGTTCGATGTGATCAATATGAAAACTAATCTTTGTAAAAACGTTTCATTTACAGACCATTGCGACTTAGATCACCATCACCACCATCATCCCCTGCATCGTGCCCTTCATCAGACACCCAAATTGCACTACAAACAACACAGGCAAAGAAGAAGAAAACACACAACAAATCTCCTGTGACAAAATAAGACATAACGGCGGGATCCTACTAGAGCGGCGAAAAACATTCAGACGCCTCGCTCCCTTTGACTTAACACCGGAACAGCTGATTTTCAAGCATGCTGTGTCGTTTCCAGCGATGCAACCGAAAATCAGCTGTTCCGGTGTTAAGTCAAAGGGAGCGAGGCAGGCGTCTGAATGTTTTCCTTGCTCTAGTGAGATCGCGCTGAATAGGTCATAATAATTATTTCGGGTTTACGTTGGCTCACGGTCGGCGATCATGTCGGGTTTACGTTGGCTCACGATCGGCGATCATTCTAATGCCACCGTCTTCCCAATGTCTTGCCGATTAGCTACCGATCTCCATAAGACATCTCACCGAGGCACTTTATGTCGGGCAGGCACACGCGCCCCAACGTCGGCACAATCTAATTTGTTGTCTGGGGTGTATACTGTACATATATATTCTGTGTGAATTGTAGTTCGATGTATTATTAGTCCAATTATTAAAGCCATTATATTCTTGATTGCTTTCAGTCTAAAAGGCTCATACTTACAAGTCAATGAAATGATTGGTCTATAGCTACAAAGCTTTACAATTTGTTACTCTTTCAGTAACCTAAATTTTTTAAACACAGGAAAATTAATGTTCACGGCCAGAAAATTGATATTTCTTGGAGTTTATAAAAAGGGATAACTTTGTTGAGAAGTTGATAAGTTAATCTTACCGCCGTTTGCTGGACAAACCGATTGTTTGATAACTGAATTAATTCCCTTAAAGGTATCTCATATAATCGATATGTGATGAGACCATTGATATATGAATGAGGAATTATAATTCGTTGTGATTAATCATTCATATATATCAATCGATCTATTTTCAATTTCGATAAGTTAACTGTAATGTGCAGTATATTAATCATATTCATGATTAATTATTAAAATTCCCTATATATAATTTGAGCTAATTAATGCAAAACTCAATGTTGCTACAGTACTCCTGGTTGCATTGGCCTCCATCAAGGGAGTAGGGGACCTGCATGCATTTTCGGTCGGCGAATCGTGCCTGGAATTCGGCCCGGCTAACTCTCACGTGATCCTGAGACCTGAGCATAGATACGTTCCCAATGTTTCTACCACTCCCTTCCAGGACCAGGTGGCGAACCTGCAAGCTCTGCCTTCGGAGTAGGCAGACCCAGCCCTGGCTTTTCTCTGTCCCGTTCGCGCTCTGTGCCTATAAGTGGACAGAACGCAAAGCCTCAAGATCTCAGATCAGCTCTTCGTCTGTTACGGAGGCCAGCAGAAGGGAAAGGCTGTCTCCAAGCAGAGGATGGCCCACTGGATAGTGGATGTCATCGCCTTGGCTTACGAAGCCCAAGGCATGCCCTGCCCGCCCAGGTTGAGAGCCCACTCCACTAGGAGTGTCGCTTCTTCCTGGGCGCTGGCACACGGCACCTCGCTGACAGATATCTGTAGAGCTGCGGGCTGGGTGACACCTAACACGTTCGCTAGGTTTTATAGTATACATGTTGAGCCGGTTTCTTCCTGTGTGTTCGCTTCAACCAGCCGGTAACACCGAAGTTCCCGCTCTAGTGTCGGCATGCTGCGCCACTCCCCTCCACATGGAGCGAATACATGCGCTTTTTGCTCCAGTCCAGTTCCCCACTTAGGTGAACCCTGTAGAGTGTGACTTTGTGCCATTTTGTACAAAATAAAAGCATTTCAAAACAATCTTCCTGATTTAACATTAAAGCATACTAGTGTGATAAACAGCTTAAATTATTCCATATTTTGTTGAATATTGACAAATTTATTCACAAAAAATGCTTTTTTCACTCCAATAATGAATCCAATATATGGTGTTAATATAGCATATGGTGTAACGAGAGATTTACAAGCAATTTTTAAAAGGCCGGTCATTTTTAAATGGGAAAAATGCTCTCTTCCCCGTGGAAGATTTTGGAAGCTGTCCTCAGCAGACTTTGGGAACTGTTTGCTTAACAGTTTTCAGACGGAGCCGAGAGGTAACGTCCCAAAAGCAATATTTTCCTCAGGTCGTTGAGTGACTTCGTCACTTAAGAGTACGATAACTAACGTGTCAAGACGAGTTTTCTCTTAAGTTTCTCTAATCATTTTCCAAGTTTTTCTGGGCGGTTACCACGCACCAAAAGGATAAGGAAAACGATAGCTCTCTAATTGCAGCACAGCTCCGTACTAGTTGCCACGTTGGGTGAGAACTCACCGTACGAAGAGAGTGCAAGCTCCATCATGGCCACCGCGATAGAACCGGAGAGCCCCGGAGGAAAAGGTCGCCCTCCACATCCGTGTGCTTGTGGAATGTGGATGTCTGCTGAGGATGCACACGGCCTTTGCATCTCCTGTCTGGGCGCTAAACACGCGCAGGCAGCGCTGTCCAACCCCGAGGGATGCCCGCACTGCGCTACATTCTCGACTAAGACCCGAGAAAGAAGGCTCCGCATGGTAATCGGTGGAAAATCGGACCCATTCCTCTCTGCTCAACCCAGAGAGGAACCCATGGATTGTCCTCGGACCACCACCTCATGGGCAGAGATGATGGAGAAGGTGTCACCCGTCCTTCCCCCGCTGTTCGAGGATCCGTTAGCGGGTGAGGAAGATGACGATGATGAGGTGTTGTCGAACATCCTCGAGGACGAGGACGACGATGAAGATGACATTCTTCCCCCGAACCAGTCCAGGCCCGCCGAGTGCACAGGATGAGAGTTCACCCTCCATACAGACGGATTCAGATCTAATCGAGGTCTGTCGCAGGGCCGCGGCTAGATTGTCGATCGACTGGCCATCCCAACAGGCAGGTTAAGGGGCTGAAAGTACAATGGACCTGTACCTGTACAATGGAAAGAGACTTCCGTCACGTCTCCCGCCAGCAAGGAAGTTCATTCCGGCAGTCCCGGCCTGTGTGACGGAGATGAAAAAGTTTTGGGACAAGCCTTTTTCACATTGAGTGCCCGTCAAGAGCTTCTCAAGGCTTGATGTTCAGGGAATGGACCATCTAGGGATGGCGGATCCTCCCCAGGTGGAAACATCGGTTGCAAATCTCTTGCACCCGGGCCGCAGGGCGGCGCTCTCTTCAACTGGAGCGTCGCTGCCAGGGAAAACAGAGCGCTTCGCCACCTCTGTTTTTCAGAAGATCTACAAATCAACTGCACTGTACATCCGTGCTTTGAACGCGGCGTCCCTCCTTACAGCCTATCAAGCGGAGCTATTAGAGGAGATGGGTCGTCAACTGGACTCCGGATCTCCCAACCCAGTGCTCTGGGAGGAGATATGTGTCATCACAGATTTGAGCCTGCGCACGTCCCGCAGAGCAGTTCAAAGTTGCGGACGGAGTATGGGCTTAGCAGTGGTGGGTGAGAGATCGCTGTGGCTGGGTTTGTCAGGGCTCTCTGAAAAAGAGAAAGCAGAGTTTCTGGATGGCCCTATAGATCCAAAAGCCATGTTCAGCGCGACGGTAACAGCGATGCGGCAGCAGTGTGACCTGCGGAAGAGGGAGGGAGAAGCTTTACAGGTCTCTCTCCCCAGAAAGTCCGCAGCTCGGCCTTATCACCCAAACCGGCCGAATTTCAGACCGTCAGGCAGAGGAGTGCATTCAGATTATCAGCCTTCCCGCTCTGCTCCACCACAACAGCCGGGCAACGCGGCCCAACAGCCAAAGCCCAGTTTCGTTAGACCTAAACAGTCTTTCGCGGCCGCAGCAGCGAAACACCGATCGCCCACCCCCCAGGGGAATAAGAAGAGGCGGTCGACCTGATACGACAGTTCGGCATCAGGAAGGGTTGGGAGACAGCACCCAGGGTTTCTCTGTCCCATCCCTTCAGAACGATTCCTCTCTCCCTCCCGCGGGGAAAAGGAGAAGCAATTCAGAGGTGAAATGTGTTTGTGTGGACAGTTCAGAGTCCAATGTAAGCGGGAATGTTGCCAACGTTCTGCTAGTGCCCCCCAAGAGATCATCTCCCCCTCCACCTTTGAGGTCTGTTACGAGGGAAGAAGGTCTAACGTTCAAAAGCAGTTTTTCAAAAATAAAGTTTCCTCTGTCGCATCCAGGTCAAAGACCGAGGACGCAGAATGTGGAAAAAAGAGAAAAAAATCACAAAAGAGTGTTCTCAAATAAAACAATCTCAAATAAAGACCAATATAACGTCACTGGAGCGGTCTTCCCCCCTTTTGCCGCTAGAGTGTGCTGCACCACCTCTAGTGAGCGAAGACGGGAAGTGCCCACTCGCTGCTCAGACAGTGAACTGGCGCGCATGCGCAGTTCATGCCTGGGTATTAACAAAGTCCTTTTAGGCAAGTCATGCCACTCGGCCGCCATCTTGGCAACGCCTCCGGGCAGCTATTTCGGACAACAAGACCAGGCTCCTATCTAAATGTATGGGCAGAGAGTCAGAACTGCACTTTCACTGGTCACCGGGACATACAAACTGCATGTATAGAAACAGCAGTAAAATATTATAAAAATCACCGAAAAAGTTTGATGACTTTGCCCCAAAATAAGGTTTAATACGCCTTTTCCCCCACAGGTTATACTTTTACTACGCATGCGCAAGGGTTCTCTCCCTCTCTGTCGTGCGCGCGCTACACAGTTTGAAGCACAGTATGTGCTCGCTCTTGCTCGCTCGCTCTAGATTCCGGGAGATTTGAACTAATTTGCGGGCAGCAGGGAGCCGCTATCAATCTGCGGGAGACTCCCGGAACTTCCGGGAGACTTGGGATGTCTGACATTTACACAACTCACACATACACTGCATATCAAATCTGCCGCCTTTTCAAACAGTAACGTATTTTCCGCTATCGCAAACCTCAACTGTGCGCATGCGTCAGTGGAACCAGACAAAAGGCTTAAATGTTTCCCGGCTTGACTGTTAAAAGCAGACGATTGGCTTTCCAGCGGGAGGGGCGGTA